TGTCATTCCTTCAACCGCAATCTTCAGCTATGAGCCAGCGCCACCAGACAATATGGGATTCTTTGCTCCAGGGTACAAGAAGCTTGAGAACAGAGAGCAAAGAAAGAAGTTCAAGAAGCCTTGGAAGAGATTACCCCTACTCCACAGGAGAAGGAGGTAGAAGGCCAGAGAGAAGAGGAAAATAAAGATGAATACCTTGAATGTGAACTACAATTGAGCCCAACGCGTGTACACAAAGTCTTGACCAATGAAATAGAGTTGACTAAGGATTCCTCTTTGGCAAATCTGAGGGCAGAATGTTCATCTCTTGCCGTGTCAGGTCTACACAAAGATCCTCAATCGCAACAAGAAGATGGAGTTGTTGAATGCCAAAAGTTTGGAGAGTGAAGCAAAGCTCAAGAAACAAGAGAGGCATTAGGACTTAAAGTGTCGCAAAGATACCAGACGAAGGAACTCAAGCGAGACACAGATTGACGCACATGCCATATGCCAATTGGTGAAAGGAGTGTCTTGAACATCAAGCGCGTCCAGGTCGATGGAGGAAAGAGAGGAAGTATTCCTGAGGTAAGCTTTGACTTTTGCTACACGAGCAAGGGATTCAGAAACAAAGCCAGCCAGAGCAGTATGTTGGGTATAGTTGCAACTGACAGCCAAGCTGGATTCATTCATGTTGTGCCATTAGGCAGCAAAGGCCAATTTCGTCTCATTGTGCAAGAGTTGATGAATTTCACCTAATTGTTGGGGTATTCAGCAATAACGCGCAGGAGTGACAATGAACCTACAACAAGACAAATCCTCAAGACGCTGGTCAATGCTCGCCATAGTTTAGGACTCACTACCAGGTTGGTCAACTCAAAGCTTGGAGATCATTCTTTTCTGTCAGAGAACACAGTTGACAGAGTGAGAAAGCTTGCAGGCTTGCAGGACATTACATTGAAGGTGTGCAGTCAATACTTTGTATCAAGATTGGGTCAGATCATGCACTTCAGCAAGGCATGCCAGTTGGGCGCTGGATAGATTTCAGCCAGTCAAGGGTGCAACTCCCTATGGGCTTGTCTATGGCAAGAGTTAAGAAGGACTTGTAGCAGTGTATGGTGGACCAGTTCATGGTTACATCAAGAGTTTCAATAAAGGAGAAGCAAGATGGCATTTGTGCTTGTTCCTGGGAAAAGTTGAAGGCAAGATACCTATGTACTCAACAGATGGAGTGCAAGTAGTGCTTCATCAGAAGAACAGATCAAGATTGGTCCAAGTACAAAAGCCTCAATTCATTTTTGTGGGAGTATCAAGCCAACTTTGGAGCCAGAATCATGCCAAGAGAAGAGCAGAAGCATTACCAGCAGCACAGACACAGACAGACATTCCTCGAGAACATCCAATGGTGAAGTTCAGAGATGAGGATGCAGAAGCAGTTATGGCCAAGGCACTGGAAGGAGGAAGTAGGAAGAACCAAAGGAGATTCCAGCCCCGCTGAAAAATCCTGTTGAAGCAACGAAAAGAAAGAGATGGACGAAAGAAAGTGGAGAAGAGACACCAAGTTAGGAACAGAAAGCCCTCTTTGCAGATGAGAAGACTTGAAGAAGTGAGGGCATTTGCTTCTACATCGTTGCCAGCAGGACAGCCAAACCCAATTACACCTATCTTATCTTCATTGGGGTCATCAGTGCCATCCAGAACCAGAGAAGCGTGTGACTTGCTTGAGGAGGAAAGTCCAATGAAGAAACTCAAGCCAGCAGATGATTCAAGCAAGAAGGCCAAGATCAACGTAGTGAAAGTTGGATGAGAAGATCTTCACCATGTAGGTGAAAAGTTATCCCCAGTTGCAGAAGAAGTTGGTGAAGAAGTGTGGGAAGATGAAGATGATGATTCAGACTTGGAAGGAGCCAATGGACCTGAATGCTTGCGGCGTGATGGAGAACATGAACCTGAAGGAGATCCAGAAGAATGGATTGACAGAGTAGCTGATGAAGTGGCAGAGAAAAGACTCCAGAAGATGCAGGTGCTAAAGAAACCCGAAGGTAGCGCAAAAGGAATCAGTTACCTCACAACACGCTATGTGCACGACTGGAGGAAGAAACCATATCAACTTGCAAAAACGGCAGAAACCATATCAACTTGGAGAGTGCGTTTCAGTCAAGAGGTGGTAGTTGCAAGAGAAGTTGCTTTCGCTGAAGGAAAGAGATGACATTTCCTCACCAGCGACTTCAGGGCATGTTAGTCTTCTTGCAGAGAGTCAGTGAAGAAGATGAGGATGTCTTGGAATTTCTTCATGTGAAAGATGCATTTCTACAAGTTCCACAAGAGAAGCCCTTGAAAGTGGTCTGGAGAGGAGAAGAACTCCTAGTGAAGGAGTTGGAGCCAAAGCGTGGTTTGACTTTTTCACCACAATACTTCACAGAGCAAGTTCAGTGCTGAGTGTCCATGTGTAGGAAGAAACGAGAAGAGTATCATTTTGACCCATGTGGGTGACGTGATTTTCGCAGGAGACTCAAAGTACACCAATGAAATCTTTCTTCCAAAGATCCAAGGCAAATTTGACACCAGTGTGGGCAAGATTGAGAGGATTGGAGATGAGTTCAGTTTTTTGAGGAGAAGGTGCAAACTAGAAGTGCACGGACTATGGATCCAATCAGGCAATTACAGCCAGCAGGTGTTGAAAACCTATGAAGAGCAGATTGGATCTATCAAACCTCAACAACTACCAGCCGACGATTCGGTCCAGATGGAAGACAAGTCAGAAGTCTTGCATGAATCAGAGAAGATTAGCCTTTTCAGAAGCATTGTTGGGCCAGGTATCCCATCTATGTCAAGAGACGTATGTTGTACGTTTACAGTGAAGGAGCTGGCTTCAAGAATGTAAAATCCTACAGCTATGTCATTTCATCGCTTGAAGAAATTCTTAGACTACTTGAAGAAGACTATGGACCATTATCTAGTGCTTGAATCTCCAGAAGCAGGGGAAGGTTATGTCAAGAAAGGAGAAAGCTATTGGTGCTTGGAGCTCAGACTGGAGTGAAAACAAAAGCCACAGAAAGTCAAACGTCAGGAGGGTTCCATGCATTGAGCAGTTGTCCATTGCCCAACAGCAGCAGAACACAGAAGATCATTAGCTTATCTTCATGTGAAGCAGAACTACATGCAATAGTTTCCTCAGCGTCAGATAGAACCTATATCAGACCAGTTCTGGAATTTACTCTTGGGACAAAGGTGGACCATTACATCTTCACAGATTAATCAAGTGCGCGCCAACTTTGGGTTCAGAACAGGAAAGACTTCAAGATGGTACAGGCGCCAACAGATAGCAACATGGCAGACCTCAACGCAAAGCCATTTGGGAGACAAAGAGTCAGATACTTGATGAACCTAATTGGTTACCGGCACAGTGAAGACCAAGTGGGAGTACGATAATATGAAAGAAGGGAATTTGAAGAAACAAAGTTTTTTGCAGGAAAGGTCAACAAGATTGCAAGGATGCTTGTGAGAATGGTAGCATTGGAGGGCTTGCAGCCAATGGTTACAGAAGCAGTCTTGAAAGAAGGAGACCATATCCAGTGTGGATTGGAAGATATGAGATTGGAAGAGATGAAGGAACCCAATGACAACTGGGCATTTTGGATGGTAGTGATCATTGCAATCAACATCATTTTCTTTGCGGTAGTGATCTTCGTGGGCTACAGGATCTTCAAACACCTTGAGTTGAAACTCCAAAAGAATAGCGGTGAGCTATGGGGTCATACAGAAAGGCGCTACAATGAGAATTGGCAGTACACTGATTGGAGATCAAATGACCTAGAGTTCAGCGTCGCAGAATGTGAAATTGGTGTCAGAGGTTGTGAGACTGATGCAGATGATATACTGTAGATATGTCAGGAGAATTCACAGTGGGTTGATTCTGAATGGAGGTTTTGTAGAGAAAAACCAAGTCGACAGACTATTCTTAGCTACGGCATCTTGATCGAGATCAGTGCAGGAAACTCCTTAGGAAGAAGAAGTTTGGAAGCTGTGCAAGCTACAGAAGGACAGAAGGATGGTATGAAGGACACGGGGTGATGACAGAAGCAGCAAATCCATCAGGAGGACCAATGAACAGATCATTCTCAGTGGGAAATAGATATCAATCAGATCAGAATACATGAGAATGATGTCAGTACAGATGTGTGGTAGACTCAGTGCTCGAATGGAAGAGTTGAGCACACTACATTGGAACCTATTAGGAACAGGAAACCAACATGCTGCAAATAGGTTGGGGAAGAACTGAGGAAGTACAAGGAACTACTTGAAATAGCACAATACAGAGGAGACCATCCAGATACCAACCCAGCAGAAGTACACTCTAGGAACCCAGCTCCTGAGGGAACAGACAACTCACAGAGAGAGAGAGAGAGATAAGTGAAATGAGAGAAAATGGACTATGGTGGCAAAGCGAAACCAAAGAGGCACTTTAGGGTCTCACATCGCCAAGAAGGAGTGGTACATTGCATCATTTGCATTACAGATTGCAAGCCTAGTTGGTGACTGAGACTTGTCGCAGCCCTTTTGAGTATCAAGAAAGGGTGCGTTAAAAAAAATATATGTATATATATATATATGGACATAAATATTTATAGGGGTCGACTGGGTGTTTGTCGTGACACCATGCCTTGTTAGGCCCAGGCCAGGCCCGAGCTTGCTGGAGCCAGCTTAGCCAGTTTGTTCGAAATCTGTGTACAAGCTCGTTATTGATCGCAAGATTGTGCCGGGAGCAGCACTTTTTGGATCTGTAGCTGCAGATTTGTGATTCCCAGCCCTTGCTTCCGCACACATTCGGGTGTGTAAAATCAGTCGGAATGTTGCATTAACATGAGGCAGTTATACACATGAAGAGCAAGAGTCCGGACATATTTGATTGACTTTAGGGAAATTAGGGCTTCAACACCACAGATATAGCTGGGCAACCTGCCCACTTGTGCAGAAAGCAACCACAGTGTTTTCCTAATTTGCAAGGCTCAAACCTTTGTCATCCGTTCATCACTTGGATACGGCCCGAAAGATGCTGGATGGTCAGCATGGACGTTCTTCGTGCACGAGAGCGTTCTGGCTACATTTTGCGCCTTGGAGTGCTAAGGGGTACCTTCTTCCCTTCAAGACTTTGAACTTATGCCCGAACCGCCTTAGCCCTGAGTTTCGGACGCAAAGGATGGAAACTTCTTTGCCGGAAGAGGAGCTGGTCAAATTGCAGGCAGAGCGGCATGTCTCAGCATGTGGCAGCAGGGGCATCTCAGTGTTGCCTTTTGACTCGCTTGAGGCCGGTCGAGGACCAAATGTCTTTCGATGGAATGGTCGCGTGCTTTGGCTTTGTCTAACTTGCACATTCTCACCGCTGGCTTCATTGAAGGTGGCACTTGAAACCAAGTCAAGAGTGCCGCCTGCACTTGAATTTTTCACATATGCAGACAGAACATCATTGATTTAAAGTGGCCAAAGGTCTTGCGCCAAAAATTTGCATGAGGAATGCTATGGATCTACCATCCACTTAGCTGCGCTGAGCGGGGATCTCGAAGCTGTCAAGCATGCACTCCAGGAGTTAGTTGGTGAGATGGACAGGTGTCCATCATTCCTGTTTCTTAGCTAGATAGTGTGCAATCTCAAATCAACAGTCACGAGGCACACAGGCCCCGAGAAGGTAGATGTCAGTTGAACCATTTGAGGAACCGTTTTTCCGGGCTTAGAGCAGGTCTCAATGCTAGAAGAGATGGCCTCTTTGTGACAAGACAACAAAAGGTCCTTCTAGAGCAATGCATGGGTCATGCCTTGGCAGTGACTGCGCCAGGAGGATCCCCAACAGATTTCCAGCCGCTTCACCTACAGTTCAAGACCTCTTCTCAGCTTCGTTGAATGCAATGGAAGAATCCCCCAGATTTTATCAGTTTCAGTTTTGTTGAGTTTCTGACTCGACCGAGGAAGTCCACAAGGCCAAGATCAAGAAGGAAGCGGTGAAGCAATTCACTTGGCTGCGTCCAAAGGGCATGAGGAGGCGTAGCCGAGAAAATGTGCAACTGCGAATTGGAAGTATATGGAAGAATATATAGATGTTTTCGTTGAAGGTTTCTTTGCGACTCCTTCACGCACGGCACAGCATGTTGACATGCTTCCCTCGGAAGGTCGTGCACTTGCTGGTGTCTCTGAGCGCGCACATCTCTAGCAAGGCAGAGTGCCAATCAGCTTGTCATTGCAGATGCCTGGCTCTGAAACAGTTTGGCACATGCGGGACATGCAGGTCACTCGTGGGAATGTGCCTCACTACAATGTTCTTCATGCTGCTGTGTATGCAGAAGGCAAGGGAGGATCCAAATCGATGGTGCAGAACTCGGCTTTGCCAGTGTTGCCTAAACATGGAGAGAGGCAATATTGCCGAGGTGTCCTATTTGTTGGGAGTGAAAGCAGACCCAGAGCTTCCAAATGTGCCACTGAGCTTGAACATAAATTGACATGTCAAAATGGAGAAGATTGGTGGACGCACCCCACAAACCATCCAAGGGATGGAAGGAGTGCCTTGCACTTGGCCTATCAGACTGGCAGCATCCAGCTCATTAAGCTCTTACATGAAGCAATTCCTGATTGGCTTGCATTTGAGGATGGTGTTTGAGCTTGCTGGCAAGTCTGTTTGGGCGTTTTCAGAAGTGTTGTGCGAAGGATGCAGTCGTGAGAAACGAGCACCCCTTGCCTCTAGAGCCTTGGCTTTGCAGCAGAGCCCAGAAGCAGTCAGCTTCTAATTGATCAAGGCTTGTAGCACATGCAATAGTAGGATTCACAAAAGGCTTCATGTAGAATGTATGTAGATTCCCGTCATGTGCGGTCTTCTTATTACTTTCTTCGTCTTTCTTCATTGGGCTGCCAGGAGATTGGAGTTCATTTTGACAAGCTCGCTGGCTGCACTGAGGCTTCACGAGCTTGATCACCAAAGCATGACGAGTCATTGCGTGTGGGACAGTATTGTCATGCACAGACATTCCATCTAACATACATCCGGAGCACCGTTTCGAGCCTTCGTGTAGTCACTGCCCCAATGGCATTGACCAAAGTGGATGGTTTGTGATGGACGCAAGTGAACACAGAACTCAGTTGGAGGATCCGGTTAGACAACGTGTGTGGCCCGATATGTGCCCTCAAGTCGGCTCCTGAGGATGTCAGAGGATGAGCTGGCGGACACAGCCCAGTTGACTCTCAAGTCTTTGCATGTTTTGATTGATCACCTGCCGTGCCTTCGGCTATGGCGATGCCGCTATTATCCGCTATTAAAGTTTACACATCCTAGTGTTGGATGCCCCTTGGCACGCCGTCACTAGTGGCCAAGGAAGTGGCGTTTTGTGCGTATTGGGTCTCAGGCACTGCGTTCCCAAGTTTCTGCATCGACTGGACACTACTTTGCGAACATGGAAGCAAAACGGCGCCGAGCCTCCACCGGTTGGGATGGACGGGAAGTCCATAGCACAGTTCATCAAGACGCAGGCATCTTGACCTGAATTGGGATTCTTCAGAGTCTGATTTTGGCATTGGGGACAGGTGCCTGCAAGATGTGCCTGATTTGCGCATCTTTTGAGAATGAGGACATTGCTGGCTTGATGAGGGAATGTCCTGAAGCCGCTTGCGCTTTGCTGGACTATTGTTCTTTGGAGCCAGAAGTGACGTTGCTTGACAAGCAAAGTTGAACAAGCAAGTTCAAAACTCTCAAGTTGCACAAGTCAACAAGAAGTGTGCCATTTGTGCTGCCTAAGGAGTGGCCACAATCCATTGCCCACCAGGGTTGCTTTGTTTGAATCCAGGTTTGTGGATGAAGAAGAACCTGCCTCCGGAAGAAATAACAAAACACATTTTGTATACCACAGAAATACATACATGCACACACATATTTGTATATATGTAGGTATACATATAACACACACATATACATATATATAGTAGATTTACATATACAGTGCACGGGATAAGTTCCGATGAGCTGTGTTGCAGAGGTCAGCTTCGCTCCCCGCACATGGACTCAAAGCCTGCAGAATGCTTTAAATCTTCAGAATGACTTGCTTGCCGCTGGGCCAAGGAAACTTTGAGCCAATTCAACTTCCAACCCCGATGTTTTGTAAAGCCACGATTTTGTATTGGTGCTTAAAGATACGCACCTCAGAGCTCTCTAATCCAACCAGACAATTGTTGGCGTCAGGTGTTCCACCTGACAGATCAGGCAAGGTGCAAACGGTGCTGACAGCTTAACATGACAGGATGAACATGTTCTTCCTTTTTGTTTGATGGGCGCATTCTACAAAGTTTTGCGTAAACCTTGGCGTGGAGCTGAACTCCATACTTAGCTGAATCCCTCCACCAATTATCCTGGGACAGCAATGAGCCGTCAGCTTGTTATGCTTGTCGATGGGTGTGTCAGGTGTGGGACTACAATGACACAACCTTTAAGATGCCACGCTGGCAGCATGCCATCACTGAGAACCGAGCCAGCATTATGATGGCCTGTCTTGAAGCAGTTGTCCTGCTCAAGAATACATTCCTGGCTCGACTAATTCAGGAACCATGAAGACAGAGTCAGAGGCAAAAGGAAGCTGAGAAGGATGGCCAGGAGAGATGCGGAAATCAAGATTTGCCACGTTTCTCGGCCGAGTTGACCTCCTGTAGTTGCAAATTGCCATTTATAGTTCACATTGAGGTCCCCAACCTTTTGACTGCCGAATACTTCCAGGCTGGGATGACAGCCAGAAGTGACAGTTTCTTACACATTGTTTTGTTGAGGCCATCGTCGATGCAAGTGACGCCGATCCCGCCTTTGCCCGCTTTGAGAATGCCGTTGTTCGCTCGTCTATTCACTATGCTTTCTGGCACGGCGCTTGCATGTATGACGTGCTGCAGGCCACATTGTTTGGTAGGGTGTGGCTTTAGAGTTTCGTCAAGTCTGAACTGCCAAGGGTTGAGTGAGTGCCGTGTGTCTCAAGAAGCTAGCTTTTATTGTGTGTAATTCAGTACGGCTGATGGTCTCTTGCACGCCTTGAGCACCACAGGCACAAGAGTCCCCGAGTTTTGTCTTCAAATGTTTCTTTGATCTTGTCGTTTGGGCAGATTTCTTGCTTCTGCTGGAGCTGTTCCAAGGAACGGTAATATATAGACTCTAGACTGATAATCCAAGAGCAATAGAGTATAGTACCGTTCTTTGGCTGTGCCAACGCCTTGCAATAAGCCCGTCCGGACCAGGTCGGCGCGAGGTATGGCTGGAAAAAAAATAAGGCATAAGGCCATAAGGCCTTTTCAAGATTTCAGGTGCTGTCGTGACCAAGTCGCAGTCTTCAGGCCTTCTGAGCGCTTTTAGTGACCGCAGTTTGAACTGCAGGTTGCAATGAGCTTGTGGGCAGTCCTGATACTGGTCTTCGAAACCAGCACGTTCCATGCCTGCAAGGGTATCAAACATCATGTCTCCATGTCATTCACTGAGACGTTGTCTTTTTGGCTTGCTTTTGCTAGGATTCTGATAGAACGGGATGATGATGTATCGGTCCAGGACTCAAGGACTGCTGCAGTATTGGGTGCTGGTGAGCCAAGGAGGGAAGGAGGGACAAAGGGAAGGAAGGAGAAGCAGAAAAGCCCTCGTGCCACGCCACACTGTTTTGCTTCTCCTTTTGTGCCACTCTTGGGGTTCAGCTGGGCCTCCACAACCTCCAGCATGGTTTGCAAATATCTTTAGCTTGCCGGCATTGCGTGAGGTTGCAGTAGGAACACTGCTTCACTGCTTGCAACATATCTAAGTTCTTGCGCGCTTGGCTGCTTTGGAGAGAAGGTCCTGGCCCCGAATGAGCCTTCACCTTATATATTTCAAGGCCCATCAATGAAATCAAGCCAAAGCCAGGAAAGCCACTCTTCATACAGGGAAGGGAGGAAGGACGGAAGTGGTCGTGCAGAACACCCAGAGAGCAAAGCATACATATACCTAAAATTGCCTACTAAAGCCAACCTATGCACGTATTCCATCACATATATTTTTTGTATCACGAAAAGACGCTTGAGCTACCTGAGTTCCCCTGGCTGTAGGAAAAAGGTATTTAATGGGAACCTGGTGCTTTGTTGGGAAACTGGTTCTCCTTTACGTCCTTAAAGTGGAGATTTTTCTTGAAAACGGCTCTCGCTGGATCAAATCCCTCATTGGTATTTGTACATGGCTTTGTGGATCGAGACTTTTGCATTCGAACAGAACAACATATCAAGCTTCTTGCTACTAGTAGTGATGCATTTGTTACTACTAGCGATGCCCCTGCTACTAGAGTATGTATATTTTTACTGTTTTAAGCCTGTGGGGCACCCCTGCCTCCGTACTTAATTAAGCAGATGCCTACTCAATTAAGTAAATTAAGTAAGGGACTAAACACTCTCCTAGCTACTTAAGCTACTATGGACGCAAGATAGCTCACGCTTCCTTGAAGAATCGCTCGCACTCGTGACTTTGTTCCAGGGAAACTTGAGTATACACATATTTTTTTTGGGGGGGTCCTTCCATTTAGATCGAACACTGTGAGGTCTTCAAGGCTGAGCATTGTTGGACAGAAAGTCACTCCTAGGACATGATTCATCCCCCTACGAGCTACCTTTCGTTCACCCGATCTCTATCTCAAGTTCTGCATGGCACATATGTTGTAGGTGTGACTGCGCCTTCTACCATGTATAAAGGTAATTTCGCAAGCACTCCAGACGTGCCAGCCCTACGCCCTACAGCGAATCTGTACATAATTACTGTAAACACCAAGAAGTCCTTTCTCTGTAGGATTCGAGGAACTTTGACAGGGAGCGGGTTCCAGCCTTTAGGGCCGTAAGCAGCAAGTTCGGATCAAAGCTCACTGTTTGCGCACTGCTTGCATGACTACGTCAGTGACTCACTATATTTGCTGCAAACTGCTGGGTGCCAATCCGCAAATTGCCGCAGCAGCCTGCCCAATTCCATACGGCTCAAGGCTGTATTCAGCTTTCCTCTATAGGGTTTGCTACTTTGACTTTGTTGTCAGGCATGGAACCTACTGCGATCTCACAGCAACCAGTCATTGATCTAGATGATAGTGAGGCTGGATGATTCGAGCTGGATGATTCGAATCAGGGCTCTCCGGCTGTTCCTTCTCCAACTCCACCTCGCAAGAAGCAGCGAAATGCATTAGATGAAGCTGATGATGCTGAACCGGCTGATGGGGACGACGCTGCAGAGGTCCCTACTACGGATGACTCTGCCCATTTGCGCCGAATGCTACCTGGACTCTCGCAAAGAATGGAAGGCAGAATGTTCAAACGGCGAGTCCGAAGACTGTCCTTGGGACTTTCGACCTCAGCTTGCCTCCATGGATGGCCGATTGCAGCGATATGGCCCATCTGAGCAGGTTGCACAGCTTGAGGCGAAAGACAGTTTCAAGAGTTATTTGCTTGTAGGAGCCCTTCTGCACCACCTTCGGCACCTCCTTCGGGGCCACTTATATGACTCGTCCTGCTTCCGCCTTGCCTGTTCGCGCCCGCGGGGCTATGATGCCAAGCAAGAGGCTATCCTTCAGGATGTTGACTGGAACTGGCTCATCATCGGAGGGTGGCACATGGACACTCGCGGAGACTATCGAAGCAGAGACCAAGGTGATCCTCCGTTCCATGCAAATCCAAGACCTAGTTACAGAGACCATGATCTACGGCCGGCGTGCCTCCACCTGCCATGTTCTCCTCACTCCCCTTCCCGAAGCAGTGAAAGCCCGAATTCTGACGCCTCCGCTCCATGCTCAATGAGGCCACGCCCTCACCTCGGATTGACAACTGGAACAAACAGATCTTGTGGCTTGACAGACGGACTGTAACGGCGCACCTCCCCAATCTTCTTGTTTATCAGGAGCACGAGGTTCGCATCATCCCCTACCTTGACCCAAGGAACAGGGAGGAAGTCCCTTCCGTTTGAATTTGACTCTCCTGTCCACCACCGGCTCGAGTGACTCTCTGATGCTTCCACCTTGCATGTCACTGAGGGACAGCATCAGCGACCACCTCCCTCTGATTCATTTCAAGTTCTACCAATTGCATCCTGAAATGTCCGAGGAAAGTATTGAGTTGATATGAGTTGATGATGTCCTGTCGGATCAGGGAATTCACTTCGACATCCTTGCCCTTCAGGAGGTTGGCTTGCTTGCTCAAGGCACTCTTCTTCCTGAGGGCTTTTGCCTTGGTCCAGAGCCTTTTTCATGACGAGCTGGACGAGCTTTCCGACTACTGGATTCTCTGCACCGATCAACTTGCCAGCCACCTTGGCCAAGCCATTCTGATTGCACAACAAGTCCTTTGCCGCTGGCATCCTTCAAGCAGTTTGGGGTGTTTGCTTCATTGATGGAGCATAGATGCTTCATGCCTCTGGCCTCCACCTTGGGATCTTTGCTGGACACATGCCACACACACACACACATATATATATATATATTAATCTCCCACGTCCTGACTTCAGTGCTGCCCTGCGTGAACATTGTCATCTCCTGCCTTCGCGATCACATCTTCCCCGTTTTGTGCCCTGCTGATTGGATTGCTGAACCACACCATGTCCATCTGGACGAGCCCGAGCTCGAGTCTCGAGCTTGCGTGTTTCATTGCTGAGCACGACCTTCCACTTATCCAGCCTGCGGAGCATACCTGGAAACGTCGGATCTATGCCTGACGCCTCTAACCTAAAAGCGAAGGCCCTTCAACCTACTATTTCCTAGCATCCCCGCTCTTCGCCAAGCACATGCACGCTCCATCTCTCGTGGGTGCACACCTGCTACCTGGCCTGGAGACTATCCTCCTGTCCGATCACAAGCTTGTCACCTTGGACACTATTCTTCGACTTCCTGCTCGGCTCCGCACTTCCAATCCCCAAGACCACGGCGACACCGGTCCGGGTAAGGGAGACAATGAGTTTGTCATACAATGAGTTTGTCTGGCTAGTGTATGCATGCAATACCAGCCCTTCCTTTACAGATTGCCGTCGCCCAACCACACATCTGGGATGGTCTCGTCGCCCATGAACAAGTTTGTCACCGTCGGCTTTGGCTTGGGCGCTTTCCAAGGTATCATTCTTTTCAATCTACCCACACGATGCAGCCTCAGACGTTCTCCAACCCTTCCTCTTCTGAGATGGCTCGACCTTCCGTGTACTGTAAATAAATATCATTATATAGATATCTGTAAATATGTATTCCAACCTCATTGCGGAATTGCAAGTCCTAATTGGAGTTTTGCTGCTCTCCTGCGACCATGCACCCTCACAGGATATTACGGGGACGTGGAAGTGGTGGATT